CATTACGAGTATAACGCATTATTATAATAACCCAGTTTTAATCTCTCGATATTTTCTAAAATAATTAAATTTATACGAGTATATATAAAATATCTCATGATAATAATATAAATAATTTAATATTAATAGAATGACATTAACAGTTTCACAATATTATGAGAGAATTTTTGGGAAATAATTTGATGAATTGAGAGAATTTTAGGAAAATATACAATGTTGCGATATTGAGGTATTTGGCTCTCTCATATTATTTATGAGAATTTGAACGAATTGAAAAAATGGAATGAGGAAATTTAATAAAAATATTTGGGAATTTTTATAAATAACAATAATTTCGTCATTCACACGAAATATCGATTTTTGGATTTTCTGGAATTAACTGAACAAGATATCGAATTTTTGGAATCAATCGAACCACAAAACAAAATTTATGATTGTGAACCTTATGATGTGTGACATGCCATTTATTGTCATTGTCGAATTTTATTTGAAAAGTCAAGAGACACTTTTCGAAAATGTGAGAATATTTGTGGGAATTTTTTAATCGTTTTATGGGAAAATCATAATTTGTGGGAAATTCTAAAATCTAAATATCACAACATTGAGTATAACCAAATATTTCGAGCAGGAAATTTTATTAATTATTATGTATACTATTCTCAATAAAGAAAAGTACAAATAAAATGATAATGCGGTTTTAGACCGAATTTGTTCTTAAATGTACGATCAAAAATCTTAATTTATTAACACAACTTAAATATATGCTTATTACAGCCTTACAAATTTTTAAACAGAAATTTTTTGTATTTACGAAAAATTTTGTATTACAATAAAAATTGCATGAAAATGTAAAAAGAATCGGGAAAATTACACATTACGGTATCCAATTAATACAACTGCTGTGCAAAAATCTAATTCGTGATTAAAAATTTATTGAGGAAATCACATAGAGAAAATCATCAAGATGCGTTTAGTTTTTTTTTTGTTATAAACTAAATTAAAAATTTTCCTATACTTACTTTTATTGTATGCCTTATTTAATAGAAATAATAAATAATTTTATTTTTCTATTTGATTTTTCCGATTTCATTGTCTTCATTATGAATGCACTTAATATTTTAATCAAAAAATTTTCTAACCTGAAAAATTCATAACACATTTTTTTTATTATATTGCTAATGACGGAAAACAATGACTTTTTGGAAATCAAAAAAAATTTTTTTAAAAAAAATGGTGTTCAAAAATTTTTTCATTTAAAACCGAAATTGTTTCTATTTCGTAAATAACAAATTTTACGAGTATAAGAATTATTAGATATTCAATTAATAAAATTTATGTTCACCTATTCCTTAAAAGATAAATAATATAATTTCGTTCTTGGGACCTCATGCTGTGAGCCTATCCCAATTAAAAACCTATTATATGTCTTTATTTAAAACTTTGCTAACAACTATATTTGGCAGTTTTTAGTTGGCATACTGTAACATAAGCTATGTGAAATAAAATCAAATTAAATTAGTGGTGAAATCTAGAACAACAAAGTAATAAACCTAAAAAAAACTTTTTAATTAATAAAATCCGCTCACTTTTCGGCAAATTTGAGGGAAATGATGACCGAATTTTTGAACAATCAATTTAAAATTTGAAGCTGTTTAATAACAATAGGCAAAATTTGCTTTCAAGACCACTATTTTTTAGAGCTCACGTTGGGGAAAAAATTCTTCAACTTCTCTCTCTCTGTCTCTCGCTCTCTATCGTATATCATTCTCTTTGTGTAATCTATATCAAATCAAAATTAAGATAAAAATGATTCCTTTATTTTTATATTGTTTCTGCCCATATTAGAATACCGTGACGTAACAGTATTCTTTTTAACAATGTGCATAAAATTTTAGCTATGGTGAAATAATAAATTTTTATGCTAAATTTATTTACCTATACAAATGTGTACATGTGTGTATATTTACAACTCAATTCAATTGTTCTTCAAAATATAGATAATATAAATTTTCACCTTTTTGCTAATATTATTGTTATTGTATTGAAAATATATATATATATATATATATATATATATATATATATATATATATATATAGACATGCACCTTGCATATTGTTATTATTAATTAGATCTGCCGCAAAAATTTCAAAAATAATTGAATATTCTCTTCACAGATATTGCATTCTCATATATAAACGAACTAAGAGCACATTCATGTATACATTTGTAAAACTTAATGGATATATTTTATGTCTATTGTAAAATAAATGTGTTTGTTTATATATATGCATATACGTAGATGGTATGGGTAAAATTTACGTCTGATATGCTTGATGTACCACAAAAGTAAATCATATTGCATTATACGATCCAAAATAAAAAATGAGGAAGTATAAAGTTGGTCATGTAAATTATAAGTTAGAAATAATTTTAGGCAGTGATTGTCAAAATATTTTATAGCCTTGCGTGATGAGTATTTGTTAAAATGAAAATGACGTAGTAGAGAAGTTGGCGCCACCTCACCTGGTTTGTTTCCATAATTACATTTTGCAGCTGTCATCAAGTCAATGTGATGTCAAATTCAAACATGATAAACATAATTTTAACAAACCCAAAAACAATGACGTAACATTTCTCTCTCACACGAGTGCAATTTTCTCTCATAAATCATATTCACATTGTTGTCATGCATAATATTATGACTTAATGGTTTTACTGTTACAAATAGAGTGATGAGTTTACAATACCTTAAAAATTTTGAATAATTTGTACAAATAAAAAAAAAATGTTCCAAACAATCGAATATCACGGTTACTTACCTTGCAAAAGATATTTGTAACTAAGTATATGCATATATGTACTCGTATATATACCGCACTGTGCACCTCATTTTTATGTCTGTACACAATATGAGCATAATACAGACAATTTGATAAAATATGAGCGTAAACAGTAATTTTATTATCGTATATTGTAAGTGTAATATATGTAGTATACATATATGGATGTGTCTTGCATATCTTTACCATATGGATCCCATATATGTATTATGATAAAACAATGTACGAGTATTACTGTTGATATCTAAATACTATTTTTACTTATTATACATAATTTGGGTCGAACACTGTGTGCATTTTGCCATTTTTACAATGAATACATGTTCCAAATCGGGTTAATAATAAAATTTTAGGCTAGTCTAGTTACTAAGTAGAATTTTTACTGATTTAAAAAAAAATACAATCAAAACAATAAATTTTATTTTATATTTGTTATTTTGTTTATTAAGTATTTTTATTTATTCCATTTTTGACTCAATAATTATTTGCCATTTTTGTATCATTGTTATAAGAGTGAAAAATCTTAGAATGGTGGAATATAAAATTTAAAATTAAGGAAAATAGTGTCTTATTTTATTACTTCCTCTTTAAGTGTTTGAAACAAAGAATTTGTGTTTCAGTTTATAACAAACTTAAAAAAATAAAATTCCGAATTAAAATATAAATTCCGAATATAAAAAAATCTTTTTCCGAATAAATAATGACAACACTCCGAAAATTTCAAATTAAAACATATAAGTCAAATTTAATAAAATTTGTAATAAAATTTGTATTACCTTAAGTATTGTCATGTTTGTATGTTAAACTCGTTATAGTGTATACTTGACATTATCATGACAACACAATAACAAACTGCGCAATGGTCCGTTTATTGTTAAATTATTTGATTGTTTAATCCATAATTTCAAACAAAATATTTCATAACGGCAACACTCCATACTTGTGTCCATGATTGCGTTCTCTAACGTATTATTCGAATTTTTCAGAAACTAAATGAATTTACGATGTCGTTTAGAGTACTTAAGCATTTAAGAGTTCTGAATTTCGACTGATAACTTAGAATTGTCAAAAATTTTTATAATTTATCTTGTATACTGCAAATTTTTATAGAAGCGACTATTATTTAATTTGCTTCTACTTAAGTTGTAACATTTACTTCAAACTTGATGTTTGTACGTTTGCCATAATTAATTCTGGAAGGGGAAAGAAGTGACAGGCTGACTGATTGTATTGTGCTAGTTGTTTATGTATTCTTGATAAAAGATAGGTGCCATAAATGGAAATTTGTACTTATATTAAGATTTTTTCTTAGTTAAAATAACTTGTGTGTTAAATTGGTTTATTGTTTTTTATTTATTCTGCTCTGCTCATTTCTCAGTAATATTCATGTTTTTGCGTTTTTATCTCTTTGGATTGTTGTTCAAAAACTCAGAGGTCTGGAAAATGTATATGTATATAAATTCATTAATTTTTTATTTTTATTTTTAAATTATTAAGAAAAAACGTGAAGCATACAAAATTTTATCTAAACACTTGTATCTATATATTTATGGTATACTTGGTACAGGAAAACAAAAAAACAGTTTATCAAGTTATTTAATTATTGTTATTTTTATACTAGTTAGTAAAAATTATATTTATAGTCATTTAATTTTGTAAAAAAAAAAAAATAATAAATTAAAACACTGAGAAAATTTATTGATTTCAAAGTAAAATTTTGAAACCTAGAAACGCGTTAAGGCTTCGTGCACTAAGTTATTATTAATTTTTGACATAATGTCAAAGCAAATGTCATAATCATCAAACTATAAAATGTCAACCAAAAGGTAGAATGTCTATTATATTTTTGATATTGCGTTGCATTTTTATCTGACCACTAAGTTCACAAACCCCTAACTTAATGTTGCCTGATATCAGCTTCTGCGCAAGCAAATTTCATCCTAATATTGCATATCTAATTCTATAGCATGTAATTTTCAAATTTCAATTGTAAATATTAAATTCACGAGTAGATGGCGCTGGGAAATTGAATCGGAAAATAGTCCTATAACGCGTAAAGGTTATATTTTATGTATAAAACTAGTATTTAGTGTTATAATTTCCACAAAATTTTTATACAATTCTTAATCTTATATTTTTTCTTCTTTATATTTTCAGGTGAGTTTTTTACAAACAATTTTGGCATACCGTCAATAATTTGAAATCTCAAAAGTTTTGTTTTGTCTTGAAGAAGAACAATTTCGAAAAAGAAATATGTGTGTTCACACCAGGTTACAAACTGATGTCAATTTCTTTTAAATAATTTGAAATTTAAGTAATTATAAAAATATAAATTTAATTTGGGTCTAACTATTTATTAATTTAAATATAACTTGTGTAAAATTTCTACGCTAACAAAATAAAGAAACCTTTGCACCTTTAAATCTTGCTCAAGCAGTCAAAACTGTGTGTCTCTTTTTTAAATTCGGAAATAAACAACTTTGCTTGTGTTTAAATTAAAAGTTTAAATATTTTTTTAAAGTGTTTAAAAATTAATCACATTTTAAGTATTAAAATGGCATCACAAGTTTTATTTTAGTTTCCGTTTTTGCCATCAATTAACAACAAAACAAATATGAAATAGTTAAGCTCATATGCCAATAACAAAAGCCCAACAAAGCAAATTAAAAAAAAAAGTAAGAGATACCCAAAATCATTGTTAGACGGGCAATTACAACTAAAGTTTGTTAAGTCTCTGCTTGACGTAGTCTATAAATTTAATTTCAAGCTGTTAATTAAAGAGGTGATTTTTTTTAACATTAGTTAATTTTTTTTTTTTTTGCTTATTTTAGTATTGATTTCTTGAGGAAAAATTAAATGACAAAACATTTTTTTTTTTGGAAAAAATTACATTTCAATCAATTAATATAGAAATTAGAGAAGAAAAAATTCGCTGGAAATGACTGCTGTTAATAGCTTTTAAATATAAGGAAATTTTCATAATAAACTTGTTAAAATATTTTAATAAATAATACGTATTATAATTGGATAGATTTGTAGAGTGTGTTAATTTTTAGTTTTAGTTTAAATTGATTGAGGTAGTTCAGATCAAAAATCTAAACGACAGACAGAGTTTACGTTTTTGAAAATATTCGGATTACCGAGAAGTAATCGTTTCGCTTTTAATAGAAATTGAAATTTAATTCTATTGGTTTGGTTTAATAAAGCTCTGCGCGAATCTGAATCTAAATTTCTTTAAAGATTAAAATTAATATGCAGAACAGAGATTATGTATGACAGTTGCACTAATAAAAGATGAGGAAAGAGAGAAAGAGGGAGAGTCGCATATAATTACGTTAATATAACTAATTATGATGTTATGATGAGATGACCATACTTAATTATGAATAAGTAGTAGAATTCGTAGGGTTGCCACTAGTTATGATATTTTTTTTTTTTCATATATTCATTTATTTCAAACCAAAGTAAAAATTGAATAATTCAATGGCTAATTATTTACTAAAAAAATAGTTGGAAATAATGAAGTAAATTAACCATTCGTACTAAACAAGTGTTGGTTAATTCCTACCATAATTTTACATGCTTATAATAAATTTACAAAGATTAGTTATTAAGTTAATTACAATATCGGCCGCTACATACGTAGCTGCATTAGATCTTATATGTTTTCTGAACAAGAAATCAACGGGAACTAATCTGGTCTGGTGGAAGCTGCCTCTGTTTTTTTAAATAATATGGAAGATGGGTGTCAAACGGATGTGATTTACACTGATTTTAGCAATACCTTCGACATTTTACCCCACGACGTAATTCTTTTGACATTGAGATTATTAGAATTTTCCAATAATTTTGTAAGATGGGTTGGCTGTTATCTTTCTGAAATGAAATACAGGATCGGTTTGTGACTAGTTCTAGAGTTTGCCAGTAGCCACTTGGATCCATTGCTCTTCATCATCGCTGTTAATGACGTAGCGTCCGTTTTGAAATGATGCGTTCTGTAAATGAAGCGGTTTCTCTACAGAGTTATCTGGATTACAGGTGATGCACTAGTAACAACTTAAAAATCAACGTTAGTAGTTAGTGTGCGCTAGTGTGTTATTCCAGGCAGAGACAGTCAATAATATCGGATTACACATTAAAGGGTCAGATTCTTGGTAGGCTTGATTGAATTATGAACCTTTGAGTATGCTTTGATAATAAGCTATTATTCATCAACCACTACAACTATGTGATTGGCCAGGCAAGCTTTATGTTGGGCTGGTCAAGAGAGTTTAACGACCCCCATATTTTGAAATCGCTTTATTTGTCTCTGGTTCGTTCCCATTTGAAACATGCCTCAAAAGCTCAGTCGTCTTTTCGCAATATTCATATTAATAGAATTGAATCGATTCGGAAGCATTTTTTGCGTTTTGTGCTTCGTTATCTTCCCTGTGAGGATCCTATTTTTCTTCCTCCTTATGAGCACAGACTTAAGTTGATTGACTTACCTACTTTAAGTAAGAGACGTGATGTCGTGGATGTGATATTTATTTCGCAACTTATGAAATCTGATTTGATCGATATTTGATAAATGACAATCGCTGTGGTAATATTTGCTAAATTAAGTTTGCAACAAATTTTCTCTCGTAAACTATTTTTTTTTTTTTCAATTTTATTAATTTCATGATTTTATTTAATTGTGAATTTCCGTCGTATGTGTTGAACTATAATTTGCAGTATGTATAGGAAATTGGTTAAAAACTCATTTTAATTATAATTTAATTAATAGTTAATAGTCAAATAAAAAATTTAATAAATCAATTGTTGTTAAATTATTAAATTGTAATTAATATATGAAAATATCCGGAAATCTAATTTTATATATTGAAAATTTAAAAGTTTTTCATTTTAAAATAACTTGGATCATGTCAACATTGAATAAATTCAATAAGATTCTTTACATATGATTTGAAAAATCCGGTATTTTAATTGTAATTCAAAAACATTTCATATAGTAAGAATTATGAGTTTGAGATTTCGTGGAAGATTAAAAGGAGCTTTCGACTATCATCAAATCACAGTACAACACAGTGAGATTTTTCAATAAATTTAATATTGAATCATTTGAATACTTTGAAAAGTAACTCTTTTTAGATGATGCATTCATTTATAAATAGAAATGCGAGTCATGAACCTTTATTATTTTCATATATATGTACGTATGTGCTTATTATATTCTCAGTTTTTTTGTTGCAGAAAGTTTAGAATTTTAAAATCGTTTTAAGCAGATGTTCATAATAATAAATGGAATACTTAGATACAACTGCATATAACCACATATACAGACAAATGATATTCCCATATTATATAAATGGTTCTGCGCTTTATATTGTAGTTAATTGAAACGAGAACAATGGAATAGTTTTTTTTATTCACCATAATGAGAAAATATAAACTGTTTTTTTTGTTTTTCTATTTCAAATTTATTTTAATCTTATAATTAGATTATAATTATGAAATTTAATTAAGAAAATTTCTTTTATTCTAAACTTTATATATTGGGGAACCAGGTGCTTTTTATAGCAGTTTTTAATTCAGAAGTGCTGAAAAAAAATATAAATTAATTTATAAAAATATCATTAGTAGTTATGTACCAATATGACTAATTGCACTAATGATTTTTAGTTTTATAAACACATGCTTTATCTTCACTTAAATTTAATCTACTCTGTGTTTTGCTGTAATGAAGGTTGTACAGCAGGAGGACACGCATATAAATAAATTCATAATAAAATTCCATGAGAATAATTTTATTTCATATTTAAGAATGAATATCAATTTTAACCCTTACTGACCAAGTTTCTCTTCAAAAATTCAAATTTTTAAATGAATTCGAATATGAATATCAATAACTTCCCAATTTTGGGAATGACGGTTCTCCTTTTATATTTAAAGACTGTTCTATTGTAAGAACAAATAGGGGATGTTTTCCTGTTTGATGTAATGCACTGTCATTTGTTAAAAACAATAAAATTTGTCAAAAACAAAAAAAAAAATTTTTATCCAAATTTATATCATGTCGTAACTCTGTCGTAAATAATCCAAATTTATATCATGTCGTAACTCGAAAAATTTCGTATTAGAAGATGTCGTATCTTGCGAACTTCGTGTTTTTAAGAAAAATATGGATTTAATCGAACCAGAGTTTGCAGTAGAACTTAATCCAATTGAAATTTTTCAAAATTTTTTCTCTTTTCCTTTTAAATATTTCAAATTTAGTTTCAGTTTTCATTTATATTTCCTCAATTAAATATGTTCTTTTTTTTTTTTTTTGAAAACTTTAATTGATGAACTACACAAAAAATTCAATAAAAAGAAGAAATAAAAATAACAAACACAAAAAGCGAAAATTGCGTAATATTGAAAATCGCAACTTCTATAAAAGATTCGACTATAAATTTCAATTGAATTGAGTAGGCGTCTCTTTAGTAAACGTTTTTCTTTAGTAAATTTTTCAAAATTAGTTTTTAATAGAAATGAACTTCAAATTGTTTCAATTTTTTTTTTGTACTTTTGTTTTGTTTCCCACTTCAGATCTTGGTACTTAAATCATTGTACTTTTCTAACATTTAATCATTTGCTCTATTCCTTAAAAGAAGTGAAAGTTTTCTAAAAAGAAAATTGCAAAAAAAAAAAGAAATATAGTTTTTGTGTTAATGTGGAAATTTTTCATTTTATTTCGTTCCGCCTAGCTTTTGTTGTGTACCTTACAATTCAAATTTGAAGATGTTTTGAAAAGTATACAATTTTTTGTTGTATTAGAGGCGTTTTCTGGTTGTTGATTTTAATGGGCATAATTAAAGGGTTAATTAAAAAGTTTTTAAATGCTTATTGTCTTAATGAAACGTCATCAGTCATCACTTTTTTTTTTCTGGTGTGGTGAAAAATTTTGAGGTGTAAACGATTTTTTAATATATTTAATTTAATCTTAATAGAATTTCCGTTTTTTTTTTTGCGAAGAATTAAGAAAATCCCATTTATAGTAAATTTAAGTCCAATAAACTTTGGAATATTAAAAAAAATAAATTTTTATATTTTTTGCAAAAATTTATAATTTAAACGGAAATTCTATGTTTTTCTATAATTCTGTTTCACAAAGTAATAGAAAGCGATTACCATATAAATTAAATTCTAATCGTATATTACTCGTAAATATAATCTAAATATGGAGATCAAATTCCAAATAATAAAATTTGTTTTTGAAAATATTTGACAGAGGAAAAATTTCTTTTTGAAATTAAAC